ACATTCATTATAACCAAGAAGCTTGTATCATATAAAATCTAAATGTTATCTCAATACTACCTAAAGAATCTTTATTTCAAATTTTTATATAAAGCAAAAATATTAAATTAAACGTTATTGGTACCAATTCCAGAAACTATACATTTTTTAAAATATATTTTTATTGATTTCAGAGAGGAAGGGATAGGGAGATAGAAAAATCAATGGTGAGAGAGAATCATTGATCCCCTGACTCTTGCATGCCCCATACTGAGGAACCAGCCCACAACCTGGGCATGTGCCCTGACAGAGAATTGAACCATGACCTCCTTGTTCATAGGTTCATGCTCAACCATTGACTTGTGCTGGCTGGGTGCTAGACATTTTTTTAAAAAAGAAAAAAAACTAAATTTTTCTTTACTCATATAGGTGTCACATGCAGGTCACTTATGAGAAAATTTCCACTATTAACTGTTCAAATTACCACTGTTGATAATAATGAAAACATTTGCTACTGCCGTCTTTAACCACTACTGTGCAAGTACCAATGGCCCTTGCATCAAAGTGCATTAAAACCAATAGATTCAGCAATGGCAGAAAGGAAGGAAGGAAGACTAGGAATGATACTAAGGGAATTAATTTTGTCCTATAATTATTTGGCACTCTACTAGTATTTAGAAATTAAGAAGAAATAGCTCACTGAAATATGTGACATGTGGAATGAGAATGTTAACTCATCCAGGAATGAAGTAATTCTAATGCTAAATAGGATAAGAATAGCAAACACAGAAGGGGTAGTGAGGGTAATCAACCAAAGAATTTGTATGCATATATTCACAACCCAAGGACACAGACAATAGGGTGGTGAAGGCCTGGGGCAGAGGGGTGGGGTGGGCTGGAGGTGGCTTAGAAGGGGCCAATGGGAGGGGGGGGAGTATATGTAATACTTTCAACAATAAAGATTTTTTAAAAGAATAGCAAACACTTATATATGCTTACAGTGTGTTAGGCATAGTCTAAACTCCCTACCGGGAATCCAGCCCCCAATACCTCCCTCCCCTCACATGGCAACCTCTTGGTGCATGGGTCCACGCTAAACCACTGAACCACACCAGCAGGGCAGTGAAATACTTTTTAACATTGGTGTATACCATTGTCATTTCTCACTTTCCCTGTAAACAGAGGAATGTAGCAAGAACAACCAAGGCACCAATAAAGCTTTCCAAATTTACAAAACCCACAAAACTGAAGTGATGAAAGAGGGAGGGGAAGCTCACTGGAATATTTTAAGGGGGATTCTGCATACTGTAGTGCAAAAAAGTACTGAAGTGGGGTGCATCACAATGATGTGATTCTGGGTGAGTCACTTCACGCCTATGAACACACCCTAACCCCACACTCCACAGGAGTCTACCGCCTTGCCCACTTCCTATGGGCAGGAACTGTACCAAGCAACACCAAACCGCAGCCCCAATTTTCCATGAGTTACAATTCAGCTGGGGTAGGATTTAAATGCTACATTAAAAGTTAAACCATTATAAATGAGCTACACAAAAACATGGTAATACAAGAACTGACAGCAAGTTGGCAACCTGACTGCTAATTGCCAAAAGAATGGAATGGAGTATGAATGGGAACAGGGAGTGAACACCGAAGGAACAGGGGGAAACGATATGGAGGGAAGGACTGAGAAAGCTACAAGAAGACGAGTGTATTGAAAGCAGACAGGTGAGAAAGTCAATTTGAGTTTAGGAAAACATGAGAGAGGAAAGTAGCTTACCTATGGTTACATCATTACTCAGTGAGACGTGTGTGGTAAACCTGTGACAGAGAAATAAGAATATTAAAATATTTGTAAGTGTTCAGAAATCAAGGAATTTGAGAAAGTGACTGAAAATTTGGTGAATTAGGTAAGTGGAAGGTTTACCCAATATTCTTTTTTTCTAGAGCTCAATCCAAAATACTTTCCTGCCATGAAGAAAATGTTCTTTTTGTGCACTATCTACTAGCCACAAGTAGCTTTTGAGCACTTAAAATGTGGTTAGTGTGACTAATGGAATTTTTAATTATTTTAATTATAGTTAACCTTAATTACTTTAAATGTAATTGAAATAACCACAATAGTCAAAGATTTAATGAAGCTATTCTAAAGTGTGAGTTTTGTCCTGTGATCTACATATTTAAAAGATGTCTTCAAATTGATTCTAAAGGACCAGGTCTACTGGAGGGGAAAAATTCAAAAGTTAAATATTCACAAACTCAAATGAAGACATGCAAACTCAAGAAAACAGAAACTACCAAACACTGAGTGCTGACCATAGGCCAGGGTAGGTGATTGCATATATTACCGGTAGGCTTTAGCCTTACAGATGGAAAATGAAAACTTTGGACTATATGAAAGTTTCTAATTCATCACCAATAAATATCAGTGGCAAAATCTACTAAATATTGGCAAATAAGGCAAAACAGTTTTACTTAATTAAATATATGAAGACGAATATTGATAACCAGTAAGCTTCATTGCAATTACATCATAATTCAAGAAAATCTGAAAAACAATGACAAGAATTTACTATTTTCTCCTTGCATTTCAAAAATAAGTCACCTCTCATTTCAATATTACCTCTTATTTTTTTTAAAAATCAATAAAGTTTTGCAAGAAAATTTTCAAGGGAAATCTGAATTTCATGTGAAATAAATATGTGTTTATCATTCTAATAATTGTGAATTATATGCTACATGTTTTAAAGACTTGAAACAATTTAACCTGAAAATACCCAGCACATTTTTTCTCTAATATTAGACCAATTAATAATCATTCTTTCAAACCTCAGAATTTCATCTGTTTTAATTACATGTAAATCATGTTCAAATATGATTTCATATTATTTGAAACATAACAACTGTCATTACTGAGTGATGGAAATGTTCTAAAATTGATTGTGGTAATGGTTGTGAACATATTAAAAACTATTTAAGTGGGTGAATTGTATGACATATGAATTATAGCCAGTAGAGCTGTATTTAAAATAAATTGATGCCAATGAAGAAAATATTTACTGTATTTTAGTAACTTATAAATACACTTCTTATTTTCGTTGAATATGCGGTATTTCACATGATTGAATGGCAAAGAAATTTTGCTTTCTTAGCATTTCCCAATATATCTGTTCCTGGTTTTGCTTTATGCAATCTTTAATCATTTCTTTAAGAAAGAAAAAAAGTAACTTCTCTGAATATCAGCCCTATATTTTCAGGATACCAACAAATGTTTTACAGAGCAGAACTTGTCCAGTAAGTGGTTGAAAAAAATTGTGTATTTTCCACCAGATGGCACTGGTGTGCTAGAATCTTTACACTTCTCACATTAGTAAAATTGTTATTCTACCACATTGTTTTTATTCTCTTTGGTCTGGATAAGATAAAAAGAAGTGGAAGGTTAAGATAAAATACGTCCTTGACTTGGGGGGAAAAGGATACATATGTAATACTTTAATCAATAAAGAATAAATAAATTTTTAAAAAATACCTCCTTGACTTGCTAAGCTCCAGGGTAAATGGAGCCCTTCTTTTTAAAAATGTGGAATGAAATGCAAGGAGAAACTGTCAGAATCTTGTGCTAAATTCAGGGGGAGAACCCAGAATGCCTGACTGTTAGTTGTCATCACACAGTTATACAATATCCAGAGTTGGGGAGCGAACGCCATAGTCAAAGAGAGCGAGAAAATACATCTCCATTGTGCCATTGTACATATATTATCTCATTTGATCTCTAAGCTATTAGTTTCATATATATTTTCTCATATACTCCTAACTATACAAGCTTAAACTATTAACTGCATGAGGGAAGCAGAGTGACCATTTTGTTTAATACTATATCACTTCAGTATAGCTCAGTACCTAACACGTCAAAAACATTTGCAGGCAATCAAAAACATTTGTTTTAGATGAATGGATGAATGAATTAATTAAGCTGGAAAATACCCCATTTAATAGGTAATATTATTTCTACTTTACAATTGAGGAAACTGAAGTTGGAAATGTGAGGTAACTTGTCCAAGCTCACACAGTTCAGGCAAAAGCACTGAACACAATCTGACATTACTTTGCATTATATATTTTCATGTAAGATTTCCATAATAGAATAAAAGTTCTCTGAGGGGCGGGAATCATGTCCTTGCTATTCCACATTGTATGTCTAGCTCCTTGACCACAGCCTGGAACATAGTTGGCACACAATATTTCTCTAAGTTCATAGCAACCCAGATCTTAGCAGTCAAGGAACAAAGAGCTCGGCTCCAGGACCACTTTCTGGTTTATTCCTTTCCCTTCATTCCGTTGCCAATGCTATATCCAGAACTTATTTCTGGGTTTTTGCTAGTTTTCTGAAAACCTCTCCTCGAGGCCCATTAACACGAAGCCTTAGAAGCTATTATGCGCGTTGCCTACACCTTACCATTTCTCCTCGTTTCACAGTTGAGTAGTCTACCCTTTCTGCTCTCAAACGCCCAGGGGTGCTTGTGGGAGTTGAGCCGATTAGCAGAGGCATCGGTTCCGGTTTGGGCTCTGTTACCTGTATCTCTGTTACCATGGGCTATTCCACGAGCCTCAGTTTCCTCATCCCAATTTTCTCAATAAATGAGACTGGAATTGGATGAGCTCAAAGGTTCCTTTCAGCATTAAGGCTTTTCCATGTTAATTCTATGGTTCTCTTTTGAGCTGATGACCAAGATGGGAAGTTTGGGGAAAGAATCCTCTGAGGGTGGTGTAAAGGCAGAGTTGGAAAAGCCCGTGCGACAGACTAGGCTGCTCTGGCCACAGGGTACAGGGTTGCACACCTGATGTTTGGACTTCGGCTCCACTGGATTCAAGACCAGGACTGAGTCAGGCTCCTCCGGGTCGCCAGGGGGCGCTGCAGGCCACTCGCCAGAAGCCGGCAGCCGCACAGCGGGACAGCGCCAGACTCTTACGTCTTCCGGAAGTGGAG